GGCTCAAAGCAGTTCTTTATTTATTAACAAGTAAAAGCAATACATAGACAGAATGACCTCCCACATGTAAGTAGTTACAAACTATTGGTATTGGTAAATAGATACTGCCCGATAACAATTGATTGGAAAGCACGTATTTGTCTTGGCTCATAAACATGCAACATTCACAAGATGAAAATTTATGAAAGCAAATCTGTATGTTAATGATGGACCCATTAAAGGGCCCTGACATTTGTGCAAAGACTGTATACCACATTCCTCAGTGTGAAGTACTAACTAAATATCTCAACCACTTAGATGTAAAGTAAAATTAGTCATGCTATTAAAATATTAATATTAGCAACTCTGCATTAAGAGTTGGGTTTCAGTCTTTGTCTCTCCCAAGGTTCTAAGTGTCCTTGAAGAATTCACAAACCAGAATCTCCCAGTGTTTTCTAATATCAGTTTCCTGATCTGCACACCTCAGATCATGTAAAAAAAATTCAAAAAAAGATGGAAGCAAATAGAAGTGCTAGAGTGGCCAAAAGTCACTCATCATGGTGGGATTCAAGCCTTTTCTGTTAATGGCTGTGGGAGCCTCTCTTCATTCGCATGGAATTCACAGTGGTAAAGATCTCAGCTAGCCCCTATGATGTAGGGCACTGTGCTGTGGGGAACTAAAATTAAGAGCAGGCAGACTGAAGTGAATTTGGGGGCAAAGGGGACTGGATGGTGTGATTGCTGTGCTCTGTCCTGCTGGCAGACTGATGAGATGTGGATGCTCTACCTTCCCTGTGGCTCCAGCATCTTCTTTATCTTGTGCCCAGATGCTTGTCATCTGCCCAAAGAATTCAGAACCATCTTAATATCTGAGGAAAACCTCTATTTCATGCTAGCTAATGTTTATGGTTATTCTGAACATCTCTGAGTCCAGGAGAGGCAATTAATTTAGAGACATCCCATCCTGGTAGATGTGCTACCACCAAAGTTACATTTCCTTCACTCTTGATTCCTGTCTATAATACTGAACACAGACTAAATCTTCCCTAGTTATCTGGGTTTTATGTGTGTATATTCATCTTAGCATTGCCAGGGTGTCACTTGTATTTTAATAAAACACCGATTGGCCAGTGGCCAGGCAGAAAGTAAAGGCAGGGCGACAAGAACAGGAGAATTCTGGGAAGAGGAAAGGCTGAGACTGCAGTCCTCACCTAAATGTAGACGATGCAGTTGAGAAGAATGCTTTGCTGATAAAGGTACCAAGCCACGAGGCTAACACAGACAAGAATTATGGGCTTAGATATAGAAATTAGTTAATAAGAAGCCTGAGCTAATAGGCCAACCAGTTTATAATTAATGTAGACCTCTGTGTGTTTCAATGTGACTGAATGGTGTGGGATAGGGCAGGACAGAAACTTCTATCAACAAGGGTGTATAGTTGGTATAAGCTCATCAAACCAGCTGGACAAGAGATGACATCAAGTAACATCACAGCTGGGTCTTCTAGGCCACAGGATGAAGAGTCTCAGAGTCTGTGCATGGTCACATCCCCCGCCTCTTAAAAGCCTGCCCTTTCAATGGGTCTGATGTTCCTCAGTCCCTTGACCTTCACTTTCTATTTTTAAACATTTTACTTGGCAATCTCTTTCAAAAAGGATTACTGTAACACTCAAGGGACAGTAGCCAACTAATTTCTGGTTTCTTATAAACAGAAGCAATGAGTAAAAACCACAGCATGAAGGATTTGCTGGTTCTTGGAGGGAAGGTCACTGACACACAACTGAGAGACACCCCACTCAAAACTGTGCAGTCTAACCATTAAGGGCCCTATTAATTTCTACTACCAGTGGAAGTGTCTGTTCCTAAGGGTGCAGGGGCAGAATAATTGGCCCCTCATGGTCATCACTAGCACTGTATGACTTTATTTCTACCATGTGTGAAAACAAACTCCTTACACAAAGAACTTGAGCCCTGCCTCATCAAAAGAGCATGTGCTCTTGGCAGGATTCAGGATTTAAGCCAGTTACATTCTCCAAGAAAAATCCCAAGAGGAACCTCCAAGCAGTCTTAGCGCTGATGTGTTTTACATCAGAGTCACATATTCTCTATGCAAATCTCCTCTGCTCTACTCCACTGTAGACAAGGAATCAAACTGATATTTTCCTTCTTGACTAAAACACAGCAAATGCATGGCTTACAAGAGAAGTAAATTTATTTCTGACAGAATAAAAACAAAGGCATTAAAACACCAATTAATTATCCAGTTCTGGCAGTCCTTATAACATCAACCCTTTGGTTATTTTAGTAAAAAGCTGTAGGCTTCATTTGTGCAGAATAACATCTTTTCCCAGTCAGTGGGTTGCCTTTCTGTCTTAGCGACAGTGTCCTTTGCTTTACAGAAGCTTCTCAGTCTCAGGAGGTCCCATTTATTTAATGCGCCCCCCCCCAAAAAAAAAGAATAACATCTTTTTATCATGTATACACAGCAGTTCAGTGGTTGTGGATTTGTACTTGTAAACTAGAAGCATTTAAAATATTTCAGAGCAAATTGGCTCAGTATTCAAGGTGTAAGAAAATGATGACAAACATGTGTGTGGGAAATGGAAACCCCCTACTTTGCTGAACCCAAATAAACTATAAATGGACACACCACTACAATCCCCCAAACAAACTAAAAGGGCACACCACTGCAATCCTTGAAGTAAGAATTTGAAAGGCATAGTTCTACATAAAATATCTTGAATTTGTACATGGCTTTGCCCGCTCTTGCAGCATTGTGTTTGTGTAAACGACCACACATTTGTTTGGAACCTTCAAATGATGGCATAGTTCATTTATGACCTGCCAGACACTTTGAAACTCTCATTGTGGGGATAAGCAGTAAAACTTTCCATTGTCTGCTCTCCCCTTAGTAGTAAGCGTGTTAGCAGTGCAGCACATGTTTTTCTGCCATGCATCCTCAGCTCCTCTGTGTTCCTTTATGTAAACATGTTTCTAGTGCTTTCCTTGAGTAATTAAAAATTGATATTTAACACGAAGTTGTAATTCCTTTGAGACAGAGAAGGAGACAGTTAAGAAGGACTAGTTCCATGAGGCTTGTGATGAAAAGGCATTCTCTTTAAAACCACATTCTCTATCAGCTTATCTTTAAATGTAACAGAACAGAACGTTGAACAGATGAAAGCAAGCATCGCTGGACCTCTGGAGTATACTATATGTTGGGCAAGGACAGAAAACTGGGAATGAAGAATGACACTCACTATGATGGTTTATGCTAACTGCTACGGTGCTGACAGGGTCTAGACTCACCTTGGAGACAAGTCTGTGGCCTGACTGTGTCTGAGGGACTTTGCAGATTCTGTTATTAGAGTGGGTCTTTGACCCACCCTCAATGGGAACAACATCATTGCATGGCCTGGGGTTTCTGTATGAATCAAAAGAAGAAAACAAGCTAAGCGTCAGCACTCACAGTTGTGTTTCCCGACTGTCGATGTGATGTGATCAGTTGTCTCATGCCCCTGCTGCACGGGATCGCACCCTCAGACTGTGTCCCTGAACAAAACCTCTCTTCCTTTGTGATCTGTAGACATTTTGCCACAGCAATGAGAAAGACAACTGATGCATGCTTTTAGCTTTGTTTGCTTGGTTGTTTGGTCTTGCTTTTTGTTTTTCCTTTTGATTTTGGGGGTTTTGTTTTTGTTTTTCAAGACAATGCCAAACATTTTTCCCCATATTCTTGACCCCTGATTTTTTTCAAGCTCTTGTAACATGAACACTATTTTCAAAGAGGAGAAAATTAAAGACTAATTAAGATTACAGGAATCGATCTGAGAGTAGTTAAGTTTCAAAGGAAGTGTTCCTTTTTATTTTACTCTTGTGTTTTAGGGCATAATGGAAAGTAAGGCTTTAGCATATTGTAATTGCTTTTAAGGCAATATAAATTGCCAAGTGGCAGACAGAGTAATCTAATTCCTGTCTCCATTCCCTTTCCTTGCAAACATCCTCACTCATGCTCTGTGGCTTCATGAGCAGACTTCCCTCCAGGCATTCAGAAGCTAACGTGGTGAAGCTGCAAATGCAGATAGACTCCATGCTGCAAGGTGCTAGAAACATAATTATGTCAGCACTCCACATTCTCCACAACTGTACACAGTGAAGATCATTATTTTATACACAGAGAAAGAAGGAGAGATTGTTCATCAGTTACGAGAACATGCTGCTCTGCAAAGGACAAGAATTCAGTTCCCAGCATCTACTCAGATGACTCACAATCACCTATACATCCAGTTCCAGGGATCCAACACCCTCTTCCAGCCTTCAAGGGCACTTATACACATATGCACACACACACAGACACATAGACACACACACACACACACACCTGCTCACATATGCACAGACACACACCTTAAAAAATTAAATATCTTTTTAAAACACAAAAAGTATATTCCAACTTAAGTGACACATATGGTGTAGAGCTAAGAATTAAACCCAGAAATGTCCAGAAACAAATAAAACAGTCTCTTGCCTCTCTAGTGTCTTCCTACAGATTACCAGGGTACATTCTGATGGTGGAGTGGCATCAATGCATATAGATGTGATGGATTGGGGTAGATTCTCGACAAAATGTTGACCTTCATAGTAAAGCTAGAATAATAGTATCATCCCTTGGGAAAAAAGTGTTTATAAATCCTTGCCCATATTTTAGTAATCTGAGATTTCCTGCCATAAGTGTTTGTTATAGAATTAAGAAGAGTGAAGGAAGACAAACTACACTGGGAATTGAAATAAGGATGGGCAGCGTTTTTATTGATTCCTCTCTCTTGGAGCCTCATTAGCTATCAGGTGAAATTTGATGACTGCCAACAAACAAACAGCATTCTCCCCATTTTAAGCTGCTAAACTGCCCCAAGCCACCACATACAGATTAATCTGAAATGTACTTATCGTTACTGCCGGAGGTGTTTTCTTTCTTTTTCAAGTCTCCTTCAGACACAGGACCTGCTTTTGCTTTCCTCCAGGCTGCTGAGAGATGCACAAGGTGAAGCCTTCTTTCAAAGCTGGTATCAGAAGCTGTCGGCCGCTCTCCAGTTCTGTGTAGGAGAAGCCCTGAACAATGAGTTTTCCAAGGAGCAGAAACTTGTCAAACTTCTGGGTGATATCGGAGAGAAAGTCAAGTCGGCCAGTGACTCTCAGAGAAAGGTTGGTGAAGAAATCAATCTTTGAATAATGTAAAATGCCTACCTGTGAGTCAACTGTTTCAGTTTCATTTCTTGGAAAACAAACTCTTCAAATAAACTTAGTCACAAAAATTTCCAATCAAGTATTTTTTTTTCATTTGTTTTTCTTAAAATTAATGGGATTCTCAGTCACTAGGACACAAATGACTTTGGTATTGTCAGGAGCCGTGTGTGACCCAGACAGGTCACAACAAGAAGATACATACTTGAAAGCAGTTTGAGCAAAAAAAGTCCTGAGGAGATTGTTGTAGGAGGTCACTTATTTGTTCCCAGATGCTCAGCCCTGAAATAATCACATAGAAACCATATTATTTGCAATACTGTTTGGCTGATAGCTTAAACGTATTTCTGGCTAACTCATATCTTAAATTAATTCATCTCTATTATTAATCTGTGTATCACCCCGAGGCTGTGGCTTACTGGGTAAATTTCTGGAGTTTCTCTCTCTGGTGGGACTCCATGGCATCTTATGACTCTATCTTCTTTCTCCCAGCATTCTGTTTAGTTTTTCCCACCTACCTATATTCTGTCCTGCTCAGGCCTAAGCCAGTTTGTTTATTAACCAATGGTATTCACGGCAGATAGATGGGAATCCCACATCAGGAGATAATATTTCTTTAAATTTTATTTTACTCTTAATTGTGTGTGTGAATATGTCCCTTGTGAGTATGTTACATGAGTGTAGGTGTTCCCACAGGCCCATGAAAGGCAGTAGGGCCCTGACACTGTGGTTCCAGGGAGTTGTGAGCTTCCTGTCTTAGGCTCTGGGGACAGAACTCAAATCCTCTGGAAGATCAGGAAGCACTAGTTATTTTTAACCACTGGGTGATCACTATAGACCCCTGAGGTTACCTTAACACTGTTACACAATAAGCTTTCTGAGAGAGGGTCACAGTCCAGTTCTATGCTGTTCAAAGAAGCATTTTTATAACAAATAAAATTACTTAAATAAACATCAACAATACTATGGGTAGTCATATTTTTATATTGAGATCTGCATATAACAGTGGTTCTCAACATTCCTAATGTTGCACAATCCTTTGATATAGTTCCTCATATTGCATTGACCCCCCAACATAAAATTATTTCTGCTTCTTCTTCATAACCATAGTTTTGCTACTGTTATGAATAATAATGTAGATATCTATGTTTTATGAAGGTCTTAGATGACCCCTGTAAAAGGGTTGGTCAACCCCCAAAGGGGCTACCAACGGACAGGTTGAGAACCATTGACATATAATACCTAAAGAATTTTGCCTATTTCTCAGTGGCATAACTGCATCTAATTATTCTTTTTCTTGACTTAAATGAGGCACATTGGAGCTTTTTAATTATCTGCATCATTTGCTTCTTTCATTGATGCAGACCATTAAGGAGGTTGTTTCAGGCTTGATGTTCCATAAACAGGAGGGCAGTGGACACCCACCCTCTACATAAGGAGCGTTATTCAATAGCAGTTCAGCACTTATGACAGACAAGAAGTTAAGGATAGAAATTATGACTAAACCAAGATTTTGTCTTCAAGGAACCTCAATTTCTTCGCACTGCCTAAAATAAATAAGAATGCTCAACAGACAATATGAAATAGCAACATACAAAATGTTCTATGCTGGTAGAGTTTTTCTTACTGCAGTCACTCTCAAATAATCACTCAGAGGTGTAATACTACTTACAAATGTTTGGCCAGTAGCTCGGGCTTATTAATAATTAGTTCCGACATTTTCAGTTAACTCGTGTTTCTTATTTACTCCCTGCCACATAGCGGTACCTTTATTAACATGGCATGTTTATCTCCTGCTCCCTCTGCATTTGGCTCAAGACTTTTGAGTCTGCCCTTTTCCTTCTCAGCATTCTCAGTTTGACTTTCCAGCCTAACTTTATCCTGTTCATTGGCCAGTCAGCTTGTTTATTAAACCAATCACAGTGGCAGATCCTCACAGTGTACAAAGGGATTATTTCACAATGGCTCTAAATTTGTTTCATAAACTAGTATTTTCCTACTGAAAGTCATTCCTTTAATAACAAATGCCAGAAAGTTTACTACTTCACCTATGGAAGAGGTAATGGAGCTAAAATGGATAAATACAGAATGTATTCTTTAAGTGGGAAATAAATAAATACCCCAAAAATACTTCAAGCATATGAAAGGTAACACCTTTTAAATCCTGGAATTTCTTCACTAATAAAAAAGAATATCAAAAAGTCCGGTTTTATCCCATGCTTTTTCAGTCACAGTCCAGCTGGCCTTGGTGAGCTCCCAATAGATCAGCCCCACTGTCTCAGTGGGTGGGTGCACCCCTCGTGGTCCTGACATCCTTGCTCATGTTCTCCCTCCTTCCACTCCTGACTGCTCTTTGGATTGGAGAGGGAGGGGGAGAGGAGTGGGGGGAGGGGGAGGGAAATGGGAGGCTGGGAGGAGGCGGAAATTTTTTTTCCTTTTCTCAATTAAAAAAAAAAAGAATATCAAATTACATATATTGGTAGAACTTTCCAGAAATTTGGATTTAGGTTTGTTTCTCATCTCTTGATTTAGAATTTCTCTCAAGGTTCAGGTATACACCATAGCTGAATAATCCTGGAACCTCTGGATAGCTTACATCAAGTTCCAGAGGGCCACTGTTATTACTAACATTTTTACCTAACTGGCAGTGTTGGTTAAAAAAAATACCTTTTCATATGAAAATAAGAAGATGATAAATAAAAGATATGAGGGGTAATGGGTATCTATTTTTAAAAACTTTCATATTTTATTATATGCATTTTTATTGTCTGTGAATCCATGCATACATATAATGAGTTTTGATCAAATCCACCCTCATTCCTTCACCTAAAATTCCCCTCTGTCTTCTGTAACATTTTCCCCTCCTAACTTTATCCATTTTTTTTTCAAACTAGATTCCACTTATTACTTCAGTATGTGAATGGGTATAAGGCTATCACCAGAGCATGGGCAACCTATCATCGGGGCTTCATCTCAGAGGAAGTTGACTTTTCCTCTCCCAGTAGCCAAGAATCATCAATAGCTTCTTAGCTAGGGGTGGGACTTTCTGAGACCCTATTCCATCCATGTTAGAATTTTGGCTAGTTCCATCCTATGTAGGTCTCATTCAGACATCACAGTCACTGTTAGTTCATGCTTGCAACAGCCCTATCATGTCAAAAACACACATTTTTACATCAACAGCTACCTTCAACTCATCAATTTTCTACTTTCTCTTCCATGATGATCCCTAAATAGTGCTCTTGTGAATTTTATTTTCTTTATGTGTATGTGTCAGGGAGTGCACACATTCCATGGTGTGGCTGTAGGAATCAGAGTACAACTTTCAGGAGTTCGTTCTCTTCTACTTTGAGGTCTAGGGATCAAATTCAGGTTGTCAGGCTGACTTGAGAAGCCCTTTCATTTGCTGATCTCTCATCTTGATGGTACTTTTTTTAAAAAAAAAATTATTTTCTGTTTAAATGAAAAGCACTGAATTAATTCTAACTGCAGAAATTGGTGAAGATGTTTTGCTCAATGGGAGTGTTACCACACACTCTGTCCCTCAAAACTCCACCTTAGGTATGCTAAAACCTCAGAGAAATTAGGAAATGGAAACTCAGCTCTTAAAGGAAAATTGTTTGATTGACAGTTTGGGTGAGTGCTGATTTCTCTTATTTTCCGCTAACAATACTGCAACTTTACAGAAAACATGCAGCAAAGGTCAAAACATATGTCCTGGCTAATTTACCTGTGAGGTAAGTGGTCAGAGCTGTTGGCATCATCATCCTGTGTGTGAGCACTGTGCAGATCCTGGGGAAATTTGAATTCTGTGAGATCTATTGATTTAGAGTCCTTATTTAAGGAGCATAGATTCCCCTTCATGAAATCATCAGGCAAACCCACATAGAGATAATACAAGAAGGAAAGTAGCAGAAAAATGTCAGGGTGGAATTTTCCCTCCTTCTAGATCCTGGGAGAAACAGATTTTGTCATTTGACATGAATCAAGAATAAGAGCTAAGAAACTTTCCTGAGATAAACTCTACCAACCAAATTAAATTTCAGCTTTATCATTCACACTAAGTATTTTCAAACCTGGCATTAAAAGAAGTTAGAAATATCCTCACTGGTATTGAATGAACAGTTGTTCACATTATTGTTCCTAACAGCATAGTCTCATTAACGTTTGTGTCATTGTTTTACTAATGTATATAAATAATTTTAGTAAAATGTGTTGACTATTACATATAATACCTGATAGCTATAAATGAAAATTTCAGGAAATTATTTTTAAAAGATCAAAGAAATAATTGCTTAACACAAGGTTTGAAATCAGTGGACCATAGTCAAGTCCAACCGGTCCTGGTTTTTGACCACCGCACAATGCTTGGCTTGACATTTGCTTCTAGTTGAACTTGAGGTCTTTGAGAAAGAACATGAACTCTTTCACTGGGTGTTTTCACCATCCTTCCTATTGTGTCTTTCCTGCTGTTCCATCATATGCCACTTGCCACCCACCTGATCCCACAGCATCACCCCTGGGGTAAAGAGTTTATCTAATCAATACAAAAAACGTGTAACTCAAATAAAGACTTGAGTTCTTTACATTTTTTAAACATTGTTTTTTTTCTGATTATTTTTTCTCACAGGATGTTCTAAAGAAAGAGATTGGCAGTCTAGAAGAATTCTTTAAAGATATAAAGACTTGTCATCTTCCTCTGGACCCGGCACTGTGCATAAAAGGAATCGATCGTGATGTAAGTCAATATATTTAATAGATAAATTGGCTTCTTATTCTTTTATTATTTAGTTCATCAAACATTTTTACCTAGCATAAATGATTCACAAATGAATAGTGCAACTACCTTAAAGAAAACAGTTTAATCCTCTCCACACTGTATATATTGTATTTATCTTGCTGAGTTAGAAAACAATTGATCCTGTAGCGTATTTGTTGGTTTAGAAACAAACTATCAGTTTATTGAAAAATGAAAAACACAAACAACGCTATTTCTCAAACAGAGTGGATGTCTTTTACCACCTGGGATTATTGAATTGAGAGCTTCATGCATGAAACTTTTCCATATCCCTCTGAGTTATGAAGGGCTGGACCAGCTGGCAGAGCTGGTTACAATTTCATGCCTATTTATATTATGTGTATAATGTGTCTATTACATTAATCTCTTTAGTTATCCAAATCCATTTGATTCAATTTAATATGCATCAGTGTGTTTCTTATTTTGTGATTTTTATCCGTGTCTGTAAAGTCTTTCCTAGTGTTTTCAGACTCATGACTTCCTAAGCCGTCTATTCCTAATCCTCTGTCATGTGGTACCTCTTCAATAACTTTTCTCTGACTTGGAATCTCTCTTTCTCCTTTGTTCCCAGTAAGCTTTATTATCCTCCATCTCGAAAATGCTAGAGTAGAAAGACACTAATAGGGAAAATGATTGATAAGTGAGATTTAAAAGTGAAGAGGTTAAGCTATCATGCATGAAAAGTAAATGATTCTGAAGTCAAGTCATAGGACAACAAAACCAACAGATAACGAGAGAAAATCAGTCTGCTACTGATGTAAATACAAAAAGCTTGCCAAAGATTTTATTTTACACCATCATCTCAATGACTTTGCTACTGTCAAGACCCTTTACAAACTTTCCTGACATGCCTCAAAAACATATTTGGGGGAAAAAAAAGAACAAGACACTAATTCCTATAAATTGGTATAGGTCCATATGGGCTAAAATTTACAACATTACTAATGGTTTAAAAGTTGTTTGAGTTTTCAAATATTAGCTGTAACCATTGACTAATAAATAGATAAAGGATAAGCATGTTAGAGATACTTAATATAGAAAGAAAAATGGGATCACAAACACCAGTTCTTGGTTTTTGCTTCTTTTTTTGAGAGAGAGACAGAGACAGAGACAGAGAGAGAGAGATAGAGATAGAGAGAGAGACAGAGAGAGAGAGATAGAGAGAGAGACAGAGAGAGAGATAGTTTAAGGAAATATGATTTAATTTTGGGACCTAAAATTATAAGTACATTGTGGTTTAGACATGCCTTGGGGTAGGAGGTTGTTGTAGGCAGTGTTTGTGCTACGGACTGGTCCTTGGGAAGCCAGGGTGAGCTGGCTGGGCCAGTAGTCAACAGCGAGGAAGGTGCTATAGCTCACCCTATTGCTAAACCTACCCTCCTTCCCTACACTGGAAGTACTGTCCTGAGGCTCAAGAGCTGCCCCAAGTAGAGCCGCTTCCTGGCCCTATTTGCTGCGACCCTCTCTGGAACAGAGCTGAGCTTCTGTGGCACAACCATAGCCAGAGCTGAAATAATCAATATGACATTCTCATGGCACCATTTAATCCGTCCTCCAGTCCTACTGAGCAGTGGGATGACAAACCTTACAGCCGAAATGAATGTAGTAAAGCTCTTGTTGGAACAGAGATGCTTACAGAGCCTTCTAGAGTCTACTCTGGGGAGAAGCCACGTGCAAGCAGAGAGCATAGCAAGGCCTTCAGTTAGAGAAAATGTCTCACTCATTATCAGAATCCCCATCACCAGAGTCAAACACATACATGTAGGCAGTTCGGAAGATCTGCCACTTAGAACTCTTGAGTTGTTGACTGCAAGTGAAAAAGCCATTGAGAGAAATGTGACATGGCGGGGTAAGCTTTGTTAACCAGTCATCGTTAAGAGGTGGAACCTAGTTAAGGCATGGCTTCCTGGAGCCGGAGAGAAACTGGGGCACTGACCAGATGCGCGCTTTGTTTCTGTCTCTGTCTCTGTCTCTGTCTCTCTCTCTCTCTCTCTCTCTCTCTCTCTCTCTCTCTCTCTCTGTGTGTGTGTGTGTGTGTGTGTGTTACTTCCACGACACAGCTGAACTTGGACTTCCCTTTCCTGTCTCATGAGTTTTTCCCTTATAGTAAATAAAAATATAATAGTTTTATCCTTTAGCTAGCCTGGTTATTTCCCGTATTGAACTAATTTCTACAGCGATAAGGCATTCAGTCTCTTTCTGTGTATCAGGCACCACATGGACAAATCCATTCTCTGGATGTCTAGCCATGTAAACATATGCAGTCACAATTCACACCTCATTATACAACAAAAAAATTTCACATTGGTAAGGGACTTTATGAGTTCTATTGTATTGCTAGTCCCATTGTTTGTCAGAGACACCTTACACATGACATAAGGAAGCTATCTGCTGTGTGTATACCATTACCACGACTAGTTCACAGTATACCGGAGAGTTCACACTGGAGTGAATCTGATGAGTTCAGTGAATGTGGGAAAGACTTGAGTCTGTGCTTTATCAGTGGGAGAAAATCTCGGGCCGGACACAGTTTATGTCGTAAAGCATAGTTCTCAAAGGCAGACAGCAAGGGTCTTAGGCTTGTGTTGTGTTCTCTTTATAAGAAAAATTCTCAGCCATGCCTCCCCCAGGGAACCGCTAATTGTATGATTCCTTGATTTCTATTTGAGTTGCTGAGGCATGACCAGGTGATAAACTTGAGATTCTCTTAATGCAGTCTGTCTTTGTGGATGGAAAAGCACGGATCAGGCATTTTATTTACTTACAGGTTTCCTTTTTCTGAACTATTTTTATATCTATGCCAATCATCACCGCTTCTTGAGGACAGAGGTCATACCTTTTTCTCTCTTTCACCTTTAATCTTCCTTTCTTTCTTCTAGTTTCACCAAACATAAAATAACCTGTAAGACTTTGATTCAGTCCTCCCTGCCCCTTTATCATGACCCTTTTAGTCTACCTTTCAAACTTTGTCTTTTATGGTTTGCTTTTTCCTACCCAGAAAACCCTTGCTTGGCCTATTTACTAATATCCATGCCGCTCATAATCTTCAAATCTAGTTCATCTCTAAATGACTTTATTCTTATGATTCTTCTTCATTCAACTGTGATAAATTTCTTCGTGAATTTTCAAGTTAACATGTATGTGTAAACGTTCATGCCAGTTTTCATTGACATTTTAACTAAATGCAATGCTTCTTTCTTTTTGCATCCAGATAATTGTGTGTGCATTGCAGTTGTTGATAATAGAATATTTTGACACGACTCTCACTAAATATACTGTGTGTGGAAACAGGAAATGAAACAATGGAAGCAGAATAGATTCAAGGAAAATAAGAGTGTCTAAAACATATTTCAGTCACCTTTTGGCTTTTTCTGTTCTCTTGAGCTGCCATCCTTCAAAACAAGGCCCACAAACTGGAATTCAGAATTTATCTAGGCTTATTTCTGTCTAATATAGGATTCCTTAATTCTATAACATGGTAAGATCATAACATTTACTAATAATTCTATAGCATAACAAGATCATATAATTCACTACAGGATCATATGACTCCTACAGCAAAAATACATGCTTCTCATCCAGCTCCACCTTTCAAACTAGCAAACTCAAATTGATTCAGCATGCAAGAGTTTGTGTTTGCTCGGAAATTAGGTCAGATTTGTTTTGGCAACTGAGTTAAAAAATAGATCCCTTTCTTCTCAGTTTATACCAATTTCAGATGTCAGATACACATATCCAAACTCATCTTTCAATCCATATTGATGTCATATTTTACTGACTTGATGGATTGAACATAACAAATCCTGTTCTTTTCTTTAGCATCGATTTAGCTCTTTGGCTTCAATATGACTTCTCTAGAAGTTTATGCACAAGAAGTCTTTCAACTCCCAAATAAACTGGAAGAATAAACAAAAGGGAAAGTTGAGTGGAGACAGTCAACAGTGAAAAACTTAAGATATAAGTGGGAAATGTGAGGAAAGAAGAAAATGAGGCTGTGTTGTTATCTACGAAGAACACATTCACTAACGAAGAAATGTGTTCAATATTTAAGTACCCTTTTATTCTCAAGCTCAGCAGAATGCATCTCATAATCATTAATTCCTTTATCTTTTACAAAAATGCACAAAAGTTTCTTATTCTCTACTCTACAGTATAGTGAGATACATTAGACAATAATTTTAAAATCTTATATCTAATAAAAAAGGGAGTCAAGATTAGAATTCGGATCTCTCAGATCCATGTATCTTTAACACGTATTCCAGAGCAAAAAAAAAAAAAAAAAAAAAAAAAAAAACAAATTGAAAGAAAATGATTTTTTTAAATAGCAAATTTAGTTTTCATCTCTTAGCCAATTATAAAAAACACATCTACATACCTCTTAGTTTATTCTAAGAATAAGTGTATCTGTCTCCATTCCTTGATGTGTTAGTCACTTTTCTGCTACTGGGGTAAAGACACTTAAGGGAAAAAGGATTTATTCTGGCTAGCAGTTCCAGAGGGATAGAGTCCATCACGGTGGGAAAGACATAATAGGCAACTGAACCAGAAGCTAATCACATTTCTATTCACATAGGAAACACAGAGAGAGAAAGCAGGAAGTGGGGGATCCCTAGAGTTGGTCTTCCAGCAAGACTCCACTCCCAAAAGTTCCCATAACCTCCCCAAACATCGCCACCAAATGTGGATCAAGAGTTCAAACATATGAGTTTATGAAGAACGCTTCTTATTCAAAATAAGAATAAGAAGCACTTAGGCTACACAAAGCATGTTCTCATTCTCATAAGAGAATAAGATGGCAGATAACTTCATCATGCTTCTTGGAGGATCTGAAATTTGAAACTTGAGAATTAGGTCTGGAATTTTCCATTTAATAATTTGGAATAGGGTTGAAAATTGTGTTGGAATGTTTTTAACCAACTAAAAAGCAGGATTATCTACTTTAAAGTACAATATTTCACCCCCTATTTGAGGAGGGTATGTGCTACAATACTCTGAAAAACATGTGGACTCAAGTCTATAAAGACTGTGGTTTTTCCCTGTTTATACCTTATTCCACATGAATAAACTACACAAAGGTTGTTATCATAATGATAAAATAGAAAGATGGTACAAGACTTCATCATGGAACTCAGAAGGATGTACAATTTAAAGCTTGAGAGTTAGTTGTGAAATTTCCCACTTAATAGTAGGGAATGTGGTTGACGGTAGGTTCCCAAAACTGCAGAAAGCAAGATAAGAAGAAAGGTGCACTATACCAAACACTTTCAATTGGGAAACTAATGTTTGTTTGTTTTTGACAAATACAATTCTTTGTTCCAAAGTATAAAATTATACTTATTTCTTTTGTTTACTCATCTAGCGAAATCTTCAACGGGCTGTGATTTTTCACAAAGGTGTGTCTTTGCCTGATTTTACTCACCATTATTCTCTTCTCCTATAGGCATGCTCATATTTCACATCTAATGCTTTGCCATTGAAGATCACTTTCATCAACGCTGATCCAATGGGTGAAAACATCGGTGTTATTTTTAAGGTACAGTAACTTTCCTGAATCTCAAAATTGATTCCATGAGCAGAGCTATTGATTTATTGCTCACTAAAAGAAATCATTTCAGTTATTTTCCTTTGGCAAAAACACAGAGGTTTCCCAATTATTTTAGAGTCTGTCTCTTTACAGAATTATGGTGCATGCCAAGTTGATTGGCAATAAATCAAATGCTGCTGGCTAACTGCCAAGTATCCTTCAGTTCAAATCTTAAACTAAGCTTGAATGAATGAACACAGAGAATCACTTTCGAATGGCATAGTGAAATGTGTGAGATGCTTCCAGAAGCAGAATTGTCTTTTTGTATAGATTAAAAAATTAAAATAAATGGTGGATATCACCTGGAAACTGGATAGTATAAACTACTTTAAGTACTTGGCTGTTTTTCATTACACACACACACACACACACACACACACACACACACACACACATTCATGATGAAGCATGAATAAAGGTCTTCTGGGAGTTGGTTTTCTTCCTCCATCACATCAGTCCTGGGAATTGAACTCATAAAGCATGGCCTTTACTCACTAAACCATTTAACCATTTCATCAACCATGTTTAGTCTTGGTTTTGTTGTTGTTTCTTTTCTTTTTTTTTCTTATTCTTGAAGGAAGAGAAGGTTTTGTGTAGGCTATCTTTGAACTCCTGATCTTCCAGCAAGTGCTAAAATTACAGGCATGAATCAGCACTTGCCTATTTCAGTAAGTTGGATTATTTCCTTTTCTCTATAAATAAAAAACAAATAAGGCGAATTTCAGTCTTCATATGAACCATAGGGAAGTAAAGGGTTGTAGATGGGGCGGGCAGGTCACAAGGAGAGACTGACAAGGAAGGGTAACTGGAAGTATGAGCTGCCATTCATCCAGTTAACACAGTCAGTTTTTCGACAATGTCCTGGGGTGAATCTTTGGTGAACTCTGGCTAATTTTGGAAATGAAGATAATGATGCTCACATGGCCTTTTGCTCTCAGAACCTTTAGCACCAGTGATCACAAAATGTTCTGTTTTCATGAAGAAAAAAAGAAAGCAACTTCAGCAGGAGATGTCTTTGCATAAATTTGAGGACAGATGAATAATCAAACTCTCACTTATGTGAAAGCACAAGAGTTTTTTTTTTTTTTTTCTCCCGTTGGGACCCACTGTGCTTGTTCATCTATGATGGAAACCATCCATTTGTTTTTTTTTTTTCTTATTTTCAGAGATGGTTTCCTCTGAAAACCATCTTGAATCATCCACAGTAGAGACCAAAGATTCACAGGTACCATTCACACATGTGCTCTTTGTGGCGTAGTGAAGAAGCAGCGAGGATTCTAATTTCATCTCTGTGCATAAGCTTAAGTCAGAGAAAGTCATCTTCACTTCCAGATCTCTCTTGGTTGAGATGAAACCTGGGTAACATTCATTCTGCCTTGCTGCATTAGACTTTGAGTAGAAGAAACTGTGTGTGGATAAAGAATGAGGAGATTACTATCAAAGGCAGCATCCCAAGCAGTGCCTCTCATTTGACAGCTGGAGCTCCTGTGGCCCTTTAAAGGCCAACTCTCCCTCTCTGTCTGCTGTCAGAAGCACAGGGCCTTCTCGGTGCTAATGAAACTGCCCTAAATTGAGCTGGAAAGAAATTCTTGGGGAAAATTGGTATAGAACACATTGGGATGCTTTGATTGGCACTTGTGGAGAGGTGTGAGCCTGCAATCTTGTTTTGACAGGCCGGGGATGATCTTCGGCAGGATATGCTTGTTCTGCAGATTATTCAAGTGATGGACAACATTTGGCTGCAGGAGGGCCTCGATATGCAAATGATCATTTATAGCTGTCTGTCTACAGGAAAAGCCCAAGGTCAGTGCAGATTTGAAAACAAGGTGATTTACATTGTTTACCTCCCTTATTTTCTGGTAACATGCTGCAAACCAACAGTTTTAGGCTCTATATTCGAAGATCCAAAAACCTGTGCCTGCTCCCTTCAAAAAAAAAAGAATATTTTTCAAAATTACTAATCAGCATGATTGATGTAAAATATAACTTTCTTTTAGGTACTAATTATAACTTTGCAATTCAGACGTTAACTGTGACATTCTTTGTTTCCTTATAGGAATTAGTTGCTTTAATGACTATTCAGTTTTCCTTCATTTCCTAAGATAATGTAGGTGTTGACATCTGCAGTGATGATATCATAGTAACCAGCCTCACAGACTAGTGCTGTAACAGATATTGATAGCCCAGGAAGAGATTCAGTTCCAAACTTCACTATTTGGAAGTATTCTCCTGAATGAATGTTACTTTTCACCAGTATAAAGTCAATTTTTCATAGTCTAGCATCATCCAGAAGAGAATAACCTGTCCAATCAAAACCATTGTCATCATTAACAGACAATTTGCATATGATTAGAGAAACCTTAACCTTATAAACACATTGTATAACAACACGTATTTATTATTTATTACTTATTATTATTTGTGTGTGCATACAAAATATGTGTGGGTGAAGTATGCATGAATGGTCCTTGTATGGAGGTCAGGTGGCAATTTGGGGATCAGTTCTCTCTTTCCACTCCCATAGTCCTAATAATCAAACTCAGCTCATCAAGCTTGAGTGGCAAGAGGATTTACTTGCTGAGCCATCTCCCTGGCCCAGAACTGTCATTTAATTTTTAAAAGAATTTTTGAATAGCTATAAAATTAGTCAAAATGAGCAAACACGCACACTTTGAGCATGATTCAAAAATTCTTTTCCTTTATAAAATCCAAACCTAAATATGCAATGAAAGACTAAATGGTTTGGTTTCATTGCTTAGTTTTACTTCTGAAGAGTGTTGATGTTTTTATTTTGCAAGTTTGCTAAATTTCACATTAATGCTTGCAATTGCACAAAGTATAGATGGAAGTTTCTGTCCCACCTGATCCCACAATGATTCATTCCCCAAGAAACATACAGAAGCTTATACTAATTATAAACTATTTGGCCTATTAGCTCAGGCTTATTATTAACTAGCTCTTACAACTTAAATTAACCCATAATTTTTATCTATGTCTAGCCATGTGACTTGGTATCTTTTATCAGTAACACATTCTCGTCTTGCTTCCTCTGCATTTGGCTGGTGACTGTCTCTCTGCCTTTCCTCTTCACAAGATTGTTTTAGTCTGACTGCCCTACCTATACTTCCTGCCTGACTACTGGCCAAACTGGCCAATTAGTGTCTTATTAAACCATTATGAGTAACAAATCTTTTTTTTTTTGAAAAGAGAACCTGCTTGTTTTTATTTCTATTTATTTATTAAAGATTTCTGCCTCCTCCCCGCCACCGCCTCCCATATCCCTTCCCCTCCCCCAATCAACTCCCCCTCCCTCATCAGCCCGAAGAGCAGTCAGGGTTCTCTGCCCTGTAGGAAGTCCAAGTACCTCCCACCTCCTTCCAGGTCTGGTAAGGTGAGCATCCAAACAGCCTAGGCTCCCACAACGCCAGTACATTCAGTAGGATCAAAACCCAGTGCCATTGTTCTTGACTTCTCAGCAGTCCTCATTGTCTGCTATGTTCAGCGAGTCCGGTTTTATCCCATGCTTTTTCAGACCCAGTCCAGCTGGCCTTGGAGAGTTCCTGATAGAACATCCCCATTGTCTCAGTGTGTGGGTGCACCCCTCTCGGTCCTGAGTTCCTTGCTCAGGAAATTCAGGACCAACCTACCCCTGGACCCAGCAATACCACTCTTGGGAATATACCCAAGAGGTGCCCTATCATACAACAAAAGTATATGCTCAACTATGTTCATAGCAGCATTGTTTGTAATAGCCAGAACCTGGAAACAACCTAGATGCCCTTCAATGGAATAATGGGTGAAGAAAGTATGGAATATATGCATATTAGAGTACTACTCAGCAGTAAAAAACAATGACGTCTTGAATTTTGCATGCAAATGGACGGAAATAGAAAACACTATCCTGAGTGAGATAAGCCAGACCCAAAAAGAGGAACATGGGATGTACTCACTCATAATTGGTTTCTAGCAATAAATAAACGACATTGAGCCTATAATTCATGATCCTACAGAAGCTAAATAAGAAGGTGAACCCAAAGAAAAACATATAGTCATCCTCCTGGATATTAACCTTCATCAGGCGATGAAAGGAGACAGAGACAGAGTTCCACATTGGAGCACTGACTGAAATCCCAAGGTCCAAATCAGGAGCAGAAGGAGAGAGCATGAGCAAGGAACTCAGGACCACGAGGGGTACACCCACACACTGTGACAAATCTTTATAGTGTAAAAAAGCATTATCCCATAGCAACAAAATCATGGGATTTCCTACATAGTTATACTACTTCTGAGTATTTTTTTCTTTTTAAAACCTTTTTAATGGTCAATGTTTATCCTTTATACTGTAGGGTTCAATAATGAGTATTTCTTAAAACACATTATGTATTTGATCAAATTCACCCTCATACCCTTCCTTTCTCCTTCTACTCTTTTCCCCTTTATGATGATCTCCTTCCATCCTGAAGCTTCCACTTTCCTTTCATTATATATATGTGTGTGTGTGTGTATACATATGTATGCAGTTTAATGTAGCTATAAAAAGGTCGACAAATGGAAGAAAATATAGTATTTGTCATTCTGATCCTAGTATTTTTCACTTCCTATAATATAGTGATCTTTCATTGAATCCAATTTCCAGCACGGAACATCAATTCATTGTTTTTTATGACTACATAAAGCTCCATTGTGTATATACCACATTTTCTTTAACTGTTGTATAGCTTCATTCACTTACTCTGGAGAAAAATCTTAAATCATATGGTTATTTTATTTTTATTCCAAGAGATTCTACTACTTACACCTATTGTTGCAAAGATGCCATCACTATGAAGGTCATCTCTTCTTAAGGCCCTGGCAGAAGCCTTGGGGCCCTAGCCAGTATGTCTTGAGAGGTTAGCTGTTAAATGTAGAATCCTCTCTCAACTGACCCAGGAACCACTATAAATCATAGACAAGCTTACTTTTGTTCCAACAGTAGAAGCCCTGCTCCAAGCCTTTCCTAATTTCTTACACACAGTCTCTGATCATTGCTGCATTGGAACTGTCATCTCTTGCTTTCCACCCTTCCTGGTCTCATAGAAGGAATATAAGTCTTCCATGTCTTAATCTGCTAGGGAAGTAAGAATGAAACCAGGTTAGCCAGATGATGCTTCTGATCTCCCTTAGATCACCCACACTTTAGAAATTGTGTAAATGCTAGGTTCCAGAGGAATCCTTCAGTTCCATCTACTCCCGTCTGTTTGTTGCCACAGCATGCAACCCATGTGAAATCTTTCACAGTTAAACAGGAGTTTCCAAAGAAACAACGGTAGCCTTTTCCAAAGAGGCAAACGGCAGAAGATGTTATCTCCCTCTCCATGTACCAACGCCCTTCTTGACGGAAGATTTATAGAGGGAATTATGCTGACAGAACACTTCTTCCACACAAATAGAGAGTAAAATGAATGCCGTTTTCAGAAGACAAGGTTATGTTTTCATTAGATTCTGGGCTTATTGGATACCTATTGTTCAAAAAGCATTCAGTTTTATGGCCCTCTATGTGGTCATAGAATTTTTCTTGTGCCCATCATCCCCTGAGCATTTGATTGTGCAACTCTTAACTACTGTGAGGATTGTAAATATAAGAAAGTCTAGATTTCAATTTATTCTAGTGAGTATATTTTTAAAGCACTTCCTAGAGAATTATTGGAAGATGCTCATCTCGGGAGAGGTTGAAATACTATTCGTACTGTTTTCATTATTTTCCAAAGGTTGCTAATATGTAAATATTTTCAAGACCTCTGTTTTTTAGCCTGTACAGTATAACGAGTTTAGGAGCACAGTGAAAAGCCTTGATGGATGAGTGGCCATGGAGGCAAAGGTCCTACTTAAGTTCAATCAATACATACTCCCTTTTAAAGGAAATCATTATTCCTGTTTCTCCTTAATGCTGTCTGACAGGAAAGGAGCATGTGGCTCTCCCTATGGCTTCTCTGTTCACCCTTAGAAATTTAACCCATAACAGAAGTGCTTCTATTAGTTTAAACAGAATTTTATTTTTAAAGTTGTGTGTTTGTGTTTGTGTAGTAGTAGTAGTAGTAGTAGTAATGTGTGCATCCATGTTTTTGCATATGGGAGCATATTCATGTGTATACACATGCATGTAAAAGATAAAAGTTGAAGTGGAATATCTTCATCTTCACTCTCCATTCTATATATTGAGAAATAGTCTTTTATAAAAATTATTGAGAATTTTTACATGAAATATGATTTTATGCACTCCTTCTTTCTTCCTCCAACTCCCCCCATTTCTTCCTATCTTTGGACTAACATGGCTATTGTACTCAGATACTTGAGTAGTTTGTAAACAGGGTGTTCCTACAAACAATGTTTATTCTAGGCATAATCCAAACAGAGTGTCCCTCCCTTCTGGATCATGGAGAAGATGTGGTGAAGGTAGGCATTGGACTAATGAATGAAGATCATTCCTTTCACAGAAAGGACCTGCACAACATTAAGCCAGCTAAAACTCAAGCACAAATGTATCATATGATATTCAGACCCTACCCTTTTGTCAGGAGCCATTTCCCCTCTAAAAATCATTACAGGAATCATCACAATCATCACCCTGGGGTGTCTGCAGAGAACCTCACACCCATAATTATGTTCTATTGAGAATCTGCCCCTCACCCAATTAACTGTTAATCTTAGCGGAACCCGCCTCACATTCCAGCTATCCAGGGAACTAGGTGTGGCAACTTGTGACTCTTGGCCTACCTGACCAAGCTACATGACCGGGACCACGCGGCGAGATCCAGTTGCCCTGCCCCCTATTCCTTACCATATATAAACTGTAACCCGTCCCTAATAAACGGAGGCTTTGACAAATCTGCTTGGCCTCCTTCTTCTGTCTTAGCTCATTCCCTTCCAGGTAGCGCCCCTCCGTGACCCTGGAATAACTGATTGCAGGGTGGGTTACAAACCCCTAGACTGAGTAACCCACCCAACGCAATCGACACCCTTTACTGAGGAACTACTGACTGTTGATCATGTCTGAGGGGGAGGATGATGAATCATTATATTTGAGGATGTGGCCACTGGTAGGATTCCCATGTTCCAATGGACAACTCCACATCCATGCATATATACAGGCACTAACCGAACCTCTTAAGTTAGAAGGTGGAGGTGGAGAAGCGAAAAGAGAGGGAGTCTCTTGCTTAATTCAGAGCTTTCATACTTGGAAGTCTGGCTACTGACTATGCCCTTTGTACAGCTCCTGAAAGCTGGAATTTATTGGAATACCACCATGATTTCCTGACATTTACAGAAATACTGGGTATCTGAACTCCAGTTCTCACCCTTTTTAGCAAACACTTTACCAAGGAACCTTTTCTTCAGCACTCTGAACAGATATTTTATCATATATTTGACATGTTTATTGAGGGAATTATATTTTTTTCATGGGAGACAGAAACAGATTTGCTATTTAAATGTGAATGTCCTCTTGTAAAGTTTCATCACCCCTACCCCCACCCCTGACATGTTGATGTGGGAGTGTCATATCAATCTGTTGATTCCATTGGTTAATTAATAAAGACACTGCTTGGCCTGATAGGTTAGAACATAGGTGGGTGGAGTAAACAGAACAGAATGCTGGGAAGAAGGGAAGTTAGGCAGATGCCATGCTTCTCCTCTCCAGGCAGATGCCATGCCACTCCTCTCTGGGGCAGATGCGATGAAGCAAGCCGCCAGGTTAGACATGCTGAATCTTTCCCGGTAAGACTGGTGCTACACAGATTACTAAATATGGGTTAGGCAAGATGTGAGAATTAGCCCTTAAGAGGCTAGAACTAATGGGCCCAGCAGTGTTTAAAAGAATACAGTTTCCGTGTAATTATTTTGGGGCATAAGCTAGCCAGGCAGCCAGGAGCCGGGTGGCAGGAATGCAACCCGCAGCTCCTTCTACAACATGTGACAGTCAGTCTTCTCTTCTAGTGACCATGGGCTTCCATGATACCATCTCTCTACCATAGCTCTAGAAGGAAATCATTAAACTACTTCTAACATATATAGAAACCTAACATATTCAGATTGATGAGAGCTAAGAAGAGTGAGCAGGAGCCACCTAAACAAGGCTTTTACAAAGATGGTTTGAGAGGAAGGAAGAAGTCCAAACAGTGCTGACAAACACTGTTGCCACCCACTTGGAGGTCCATTGTCTAAGTGTTACTCATCCTGGGAAGCAAGGTTAGCATCCTTAATCTCTCTCCGTTATCATCCAGGATTGATAGAGATGGTGCCAGATGCCATAACACTTGCCAAGATCCATCTCCACTCTGGGCTCATAGGACCATTGAAAGAAAACACCATCAAGAAGTGGTTCAGTCAGCACAACCACTTAAAGGAAGATTATGAAAAGGTTTGTTCTTCTGGAACTAATTTTAAGTAATGTACTTAAATCAGAATATGCTTTGGTCCATTGATATTGTGATTTATGGGAAAGTAAATTAAATTCACCTTGAGTTCTAATTTATACACTTATCAGCTATGTGAGTAAGACCCAATTTAACTGGCATACTAACTAGATGAAAGTCTATCTGCCTTTTGTTTTCCTTCTGGGTGAAGCTGCTGTCTATGCATAAAGAATCTCTTCACTCAGATATCATGTTCTGTAGATGATTTCTTCTGAAACTAAAACCTTCTGGTAGCTTCTACCCATTTGCATACAATCTCCAATTATAAATAAACACTATATTAAATATCTTCTGTTATGCCCTGATTTTTCATCTACCATTGTTAAATGACTTGCAGAATGTAAGATAAATGATAGAAATAGATTATAGATATGTGATTGATAAATAGACAGATACATAGATAACATATAAATATACTGGATAATAAGTAATAGAAATAAAGATATGTAATAGATAGATAGGTCTATCTATACACAGGTGATCTATACTAGAAATAGATGGTAGATGATTACAGATCTTTTTTTCTCTTTACTATTGTCATTCTGTGTCATTGTTTTTCAACTGACAGGCCTTGAGGAACTTTTTTTACTCTTGTGCTGGCTGGTGTGTGGTAACGTTCATCTTGGGAGTCTGTGACCGACATAATGACAATATCATGCTGACAAAGTCAGGCCACATGTTTCATATTGACTTTGGAAAATTCTTGGGTCATGCACAAACATTTGGCGGTATAAAAAGGTCAGTTCACAAGCATTTATTGCAATAATTAAGCAATGCTCTAAATAATATATAGTGTATAATGGCAGAGGAGCCCATCAAGTTACTTTTACAAAACCCCCAGGGTAATATAAATACGATTATAAGTCTAAGAAGATGAAAGGAAGGAATTTTTTCAGTAAATTATTAACAAAAGAGAGTTTCTTCAAGATGTTAAGAAACTATAATGGTCTTCTTCCATGGGTTACTATATCTATTCCAACTAATTGTTTCAATTATTTGTTTTTTTTATTTTCTTACAAACTTTAGATGGGAAATTATACATGAGTTGGTAGTCCTGATCCATCTGGTATATTGTGTGTAGGGGTTAACCACCAGGATTTCAGCATAGTACAATTAACCAGCTCTCCAACCTGACTTAGCCTTGAAACACCCCTCAGATATTTAGTGAGGACTCAGGGTACTATGAATAAGTGAATAAACAACGGTACAAACCCTAGCTTCTTTCACTGTTGTGGTTGAAAGGCAAAGTGTCTCACATGGGTTCATGCATCCGTATCTTTGTATCTACCACTGATGGCCCTGACTTAGAAGGTTCTGGGTCCTTCGGGAGATGTAGCCTGACTAAAGTAAGGGTGTCACTTCGGGAGGAGGTAGCTTAAGGTTTTCTGGTCCCTCTCTATGGTGTCCTGTCTGCTCTCTACTCCCGACTCTAGAAGGATATAGCACAACCTTACACTCTAGCCATCATTTTTGAGCCTCTGTGATGAACTGTGTTCCTTCCTACTATATCTTAAAAGAAACACTCCCACATATTTTGTCAAGGTAATGAGAAAAGTAACCAAAAGCAGCATTAAACTAATAAATAACAACATGATAGAAGGAAATAAGAACTCCTCATGGGAAACACAAAGCAAGTAACTGGGGTGAAAGGGGATGGGCCAGGCATGCTGCTTTAAAGAAATTTTTTCAGAGGAGAAGACAGGCATAGTGTCAATGAGCAGCCTGTGGAGATGCATCATGGGAGACAAAGAAAATAGAATATTCCCCGGACCTGAGATTTCTGGAAACAGAATTCTCAGCCTTGTGCCAAAGCTGACCCTCAGCTGCTGTGAGTTTTCTGACTTCTGAGAGAACAAACATATCTCAGTGACCACTGTGCAGGATTTCATACCCTGTCCATAAACAAGTGCTCCCTTCTCATTGCTGTATTTGTGAGATTAAAAAGGATTGACACTAGCAGAATAAATCAAAGGGCATCAGAGCCCCAGCATTGCTTAAGGATTTGGGGACTATTTGCCTAATTCCTGCAATGGAAATAACGAGGAATCTCCTAGCTTTCTAAAGCCAAATGGATTTTCCTTTGAAGTATTGCTTAATTATAATCTTTGTTTCTCAATTTTCTCTAACAAAGTCATAAATAAAAATGATTATGAAATCATGGAGCCACAATCAAATTTTCACTCAGTTCTCTGGTAATAATGACTATAAAGAAACTTTTGTGATGTAAGATAGACTATAGTAACAAACTCAGACTTGAATGTGATAAATTATTAATTGGTAACTTTTTCTTATAAAGCAGGATAAATTATGAAGAACTTCATTTGTAACAACAATTCCTCTTCTAACCTACTTCTTTTCAAAAATCTTATTTATTTGTTATATTGCCAGTGTATATGAACTTTCACTTTTCAATGCTAATCTTACACCAAATCATTGTCTGTCTTTTATCCATATTTTTTTTGATTAAAATTGCTATTTGATAATCTCAAGCATGAATATAATCCATTTGGTTCTCTCTCTTATTTTTCCCACTCCTGTCATTCCTGCCCAGACCTCCCTATAGGTCCCTTACCCACCCACATTCATGCCATTTTGTTTTGTTTTGCAACCCATTAATCTTAACTGGATACTCTCTCTGTATGGCCACAGACTTGGGCCTATTTCCTTAAACCTCATGGGCTCAGTATCTGGTACAGCACTGAAGGCAACGGCTATCCCTTCCCTAGAGTCCATCAGTTGACAATAGTTCTCCGTGGAAGGAACCCTGATTAGTTTTTGTTTTCAATGTGAAACAAACTAAAGTCACCTGAGAGAGAGGAACATCAGCTGAGGAAATGCCTCCATCAAAATGGCCTGTGACTTGTCTATGAGACATTTTCTTGATTGCTAATTGGTAAAGGAAGGCCCAACGTATTGTGGATGGTGCCAAACTGAACAGGTGGTCCTGGTTTTTGTTTGATGGTTTGTTGTTTGTGTGCCTGTGTGAGTGACTGTATGTGTGTGTGTGTGTGTGTGTGTGTGTGTATTTTCTAAACATGAGTTAGAAGGAGCTAGCGAGCAGACTAGACTTCTTTTGTGTTTTTTTTTTTTTTTAATAACGTATGGCCTAGAAGTTTAAACTAAAATAAACTCTGTCCTGTCTAAGTAGCTTTTGGGCATAGTGTTTATCACAGCAACAGAAAAGCAAATTAGAATAGAGCAGTAGGGCCCTACTCGTGATGACTTCTGACAGGCACTAAGTCTAAGACACAGGTCTAGTGCAGCCAAATGTAACTACTACAAGATCCTACTGTGAATGCTGTATTCTGCCATGAAGATGGCTTTCCTTGTACTTCCCAACTCTTACATCCTCTCAGCTCACTATGCAGCAACCTTCTCTGAGGCTTCCAAAGTGTCTCCTTTAGGGCTGAGCACCCAGTCAGCATTTATTCTAAGAATACTGAGTATCCATGAGGTTTTATTTTTAATTCACTATGGTTCATCGACGGCATGGGATGTTGAAAGGGCAGTAGAAGTGAGCTTAGAGCAGCAGATTTTAGGGCCCCTTACCTGTCCACATGAGGCACTAAAGGGGCAACAAAAGATTAAGTCTTCTTGTAGCTTTTTTCTAAGTAATTTTAGTTATTTTTTCACAAAAATGTTATCCCCTGTTTTAGTCAATAAAAACAGTTAGTATTCAACACTGTACATTGTTTTCATGTCTGTCATTTCTGTGTGTTTAGCAGTCTACTTTTCATATTCCAGAAAGGCCTTGTTTGTGTCACTGACCATTCATTGCAATGGTAGGAACTTTGTAGAAAGCTGGTGTCTCAGTGGGCTGCCACTCACTGTTAAAAGTAAGTACCTACATAAAAAAAACATGTAATAAAATAATTTAAGAGGTTATATGAACACTGGTTAAAGTCAGCTACTCTGAGGCTCTGAGGATAAGCTGTGTGTGTGTGTGTGTATGTGTGTGTGTGATAGAGAGAGAGAATTTGTGTGTTTTATCCTAGTGCTATCACATACTTTACATATGATCTTCAATCAACCTCATTTGTGTGCCTCAGTTTTCTCATCTATATTTTGAACTTTCTTAAAGATTAAATGATTATATATCAGAGGGTGGTATGTATTTCAGCAAGCCCCCCTAACCTATGGGATAATTTTGGACACAAGCAGAGGTGAGATGGACCTGGCCCATGTCATGGGGGCTTGCCAGAGCCCATTCCCTGTAGTGTACTCCTCAACAACATCCCGGATGACATCTCATTACTGGCTAGAAATCAGCAATAATGGGGATATTTCATGGAATTTGGCAAAAGTCATAAACTCACAAACTAATTTTCTTCAATGAGAAAATTCCATAGGTTTTCAGCTGAAAAACTGAGATGACTGAGAAAAGTTTGAGAATAGAAAAGAGATGGAAGAGAGAGCAAGTTAAACCCTGACTACCCTGCCTTCCTGCCCTCCATGAGCCTCACCTGTCACCTCTGCTGTCTTCTTAGCTTGTCTCAGGTGCAATGTGCTTCTCTCTGTCAGCCCTACTAGTTTTGATTCTAAATTTACTCTTTAAGGGAAGTCCATAAATATGCCTCTAGAGTAAGCATATCATAGGAACTCCAGCTGAGCTGTGGCTGTAGCTCTGTGGTAGAATAGTAAGTACCACGTGGTAGAACAGAATAGGTAGTATAGCATGCATACAGTTCCCAGCATAGGAAAGTGAGGAGGAAGGAAATGATGAAGAGAAGAGGTAAAGAAGGAAGGAAGAGAGGAAGAAAGGAAAGAAGGAAGATGGGAGGGAAGAGAGGGATGGGAAAGTAATGAAGGAAGAGGGGGAAGGGAGGGAAAGGAGGAAGGGAGAGAAGGGAGGGAGGAAGGAAGAAAGGGAAAGAGGGAGGGAGGAAGAAGGAATAAAGGGAGGGAAGGAGGGACGGAGGGAGGAAGAGAGAGGAAAATGCCATACATCTTATACTGGGTGAACGACTGAGTTCTGAGCTTAGTAAGAAATACCAAGTCTATTTCTTGTAGACCACAACTACATGAGATACAAATGATTTCAGGAGTAACTTGAGTTCATCTTTGACCTGCTTTTAAACCCTTTTACTTTCAATGTCATGCTACAATCATGACTTACACCCACACATTAGATCATTGATGAACTTGTTTTCATATCCAGACTAAGTCTGTCCCAAGCAAGTATCAGAATTCTATGGAAATCATAGCTATGCACTTCCCTCATCTATGATTCAAAGGAAAAGCCCACTAATTCTGAGGATCCCATCAGCCTTCTAGCCATCATTAGATCCTGGCTCAGTACAAATGCAGTTCATCGAAATATAGAGAAGACTTAACTGTTCTAAAATTGTTGTTGTCTTTTATCTCTCCTCTTCTAAAAGGAGACAGGATGTACCTGAGTTTCCAGAGACCTGACTCACTATGTAAAGTTACTAAACAGTTAACAATCAGGGACTTGACGAGCACTAAAGACGTGATGCTTGCACAAGGGTCTGAACAAGAGGGAAAATGTTTTGCATTTAAGAAATTACCGGTGAAACTCAACTCAGCTGATAATTGCTGAGAGCATGGAGATCTCATGGGGGTTTAGTGTTCATTCTGTAAAAGCATGCTCGCATTGACACTGTGGTTATATTGCTAGTGTGTGGTTTCCCAAGCTACCTAATTACACGAGGTTCTCTCCTACTCAGTGGAGACTCCAGATTTGCCTTCCCAATTAACTCATGGATATTAGATAAGAG